ATGGCGGCGTTTGGTGGATAATTCCTCCGGTAGCTACGCGTTTACAAATTGATCGTCTTTACTAGTTGTTATTTAAAAACATTTCAGTTTCAGATAATTTTTTAATGGTTGTTACTGATAACTATCGTCATTTCAAAAGATTTCGGCTGGGAAACTATTTTTAATTTGCGCACCAATTACGATGCGCTCCCGGACATTGTCTATGGAGGTACGCAGGGCTGTGGTGGGGACATCTGTCAACCAAACGCGTCCCCGTACACACAGCACTGTATGCAGGGCTAGTTTGACGACTGTTTTGCACTGTAGGTTTACAATACATTATGGCGCAGGGCACGTTCTATCACCCATGCATTTCCTGACTGTAGAACAAACTATTGTGCTAACCTATGTAAACAGAAGAGTTCCTATAACCCTAAATCTTTCATAGGTTCCCAACTGGTAGCAATGTAGGGTTAGGGACCATTGGCTGGTGTATTGTACATGTAAATAGATACACAAATCAAAACTAGTCGTTTTAAAGACTTCTAAATTAATTAATGATAGAAGACAATACAAGTTTAGTCAAGTCAATTAAAATGTACACAGAATATAGCTATAATGTAGACTAGCATGCAACTACAAAATCATTGATGGTAAATCGTCATGAAACGGCGAACAGGATAATTCCAGCTCGAATTATGTAACTATTACAACCAAATTAACACGCCTAACTTATCAACAAATCATGTTCTATTAAAAAAATTCTCAATTTATAGTGAATAACGTGAAAATACGGAAACATATATTGATGCCCAGAATACCAACCATGTTGACTCTCGTTCAGCAAGAAAAGAAGGAACCATGCACTGCAACCAATGAAACCCGTTTAATTCAGGCTCGTTCGCAAGTAGTATATCTAATTGTTATTTATTTAGATATTTTTAAATGTTACATGTACTTTCAAAATTTTTACTGGATAAATAATGTTATAAAACTTATTTATTTTATATAATGAATGAAACATTTTTAACTCAACAACAAAACCAACTAACTGTAAGTTTACTTTCTTGAAAGAGCAGTTGGTTGTGGTGATCTCTTCCGGGTTAAAGTTTATATTGTGGTGTGACATGTGGGTGATGTTACACTTGTCAACTGCTGTTTCCCCACCCATCGAGTAAGTATTAACGTTAGACATTCGTTCGTTCACTGAAAAATATCGCAGATATGTAGATACTATTATATACTGAATTGAACCTACCAACGACTGGATCAGTGATTAAATCGACCCTGTGCTTGCATGACAACTGACTATTTAAATAAAGTACATGTACAACGTAATTAGAATTTTTCTTTTTGAAAACTGTTTAAATTAACAAAATCATTTGTTAAGTATACCATGGAACTATAGTTTATAGTTCCATGAGTATACTATCGACACCACAAACCTATTCACTTGATTTTTATAAATATTTATTAATTTCAATATCAATTGAATCTAACCAGCCAATCAACGAGCGAGATGTGCTATGATACAGTGGATATATTGCATTGTGTGATAAAATAAAATGCAAGGTTGATTTGTTTAATCATTTTCCAATTTACTGAACACATGATAAATTCTTCTCATATTCGACATGTTTGACTTGCAAGCTGCAATGTTTTCACATTACACACTGTTCAGGTAGACATACAGTCAAATTCTTGGCTAATATGGCTTCCAAGTGAAGACAAATTCTACAGACAGTTCATGGTGGACATTCCCGCTTACCGGTATTCATCAATAATTAATAATTCTTGTGACTTCTTGTCACACTGTCTCCCCATGGAATTGGCATTCATTGTGAAACTAAAATCACTAGTTGCCTATTAAGGTAGCGAGACTATTATTTGTGTTCAAAATTACGATTTCCACATTTATTTATTAATTGATGAAATGCACTATAAACTTTCATCTGACAAAGTCAACGTAACCTAGAATGCCATGTAAGTTGGTTAAAATGTAGATTTTCTGAAGGGAAGCAAGGCAGCTTCAGTAGTGTTTTCTAAAATCAACAACACAGGTTTAATTTGTGTGCCTATAAGTTTCAAAGATTAACTCAAGACAAAACAATGTTAGGATGTGTTATTAGTAGCTATCTGACAAACAATGAGTGTTTCCAAACATTTGAGTGGTTTGTCTCCGCCCCTGTTTATTTCACAGATTGGTCATTTGCATATGAATGTGTCAGGCACAAGGTCACACAGCCACTGAAAAAAATCATTGATTTTAGTGTTTTCATTTGCCGATTTTATCGAACTATAGCTATCCCATTCCTTTATTTTTTTGGTTTCCAATAGCCTTACACATTTGGATGCCCCTACACATGTTAAAACAGACCTTGATCGGAAAACAAATCGCTTGTGCAGATAAACAAGCTTGAAAATCTTTGCTGTGACTTCATCAACGTTTTCTAGGAGTTTATGTTTTTCAAAATAC